TTTTTTTTTTTTTTTTTTACCCGCGTTCTCCTATCTGCAGTGGTATCTTTTTTTTCGTTTTTATTATTATTATTATTATTTTTCCTCTTCTCACTATCCACACATATATATAAATATAAATAGAGAGAGAGAAATGATGCCTAGGCGATGCACATTCATCAGACGATACCAGTGACGATTGTGGATCCCGTAACTGCCGCCCCATCGCCATCCGTTAAACATATTGAAGACCGCACATTATATGCTTATCGTAATATGGGATTCGCCTTAACACATTATCATCCTTCTTTAACGGGAGCCAAATGTCATCCTCTTGTCATTGAAAATATGAATCAATTACGTATGTATCACAGAAGAGAATTTATATACCAGGTGTTACTACGTCGTACTTATAATGTAAAGACATTTCAAACCGCACTTGGTATTATGGCGGACCCACAGGAACCATTTAATGCGGTGGATCAATTAGTAGATATGAGATCTTTTGCTTATCACCATACAGCTGCGGATCAAGATATTATTAAGAGTTTTTGTCGACAATTAGAATCCCCTTTTGCTCCATCATCACATATGCGATTTGATGCATTGGCAGTGAGTCCTTATGCATCTGCTTTTATAACTTCCTGCGATAAATTAACGGAAGAATTTGTGATAAATTTTGTGCGGACTGCACATTATACATATTTTCTTTATCAACATACTAAAAATCCCCGTTATCTTGAAGCTTGGAAAACTTTTTATGGTCCACGTGAAGATAAATTTAAAAAAAGGCCAGTTCTCTTATACATTGGAGTTGGGCCGCAGGAATTTCCTGAAGATGAAATGGATGAAAATACAGTACGTTCACTGCGTTCTTTGATAGCCCGTAGTACAGAAAGTGTACAACTTCCACCTGCTGAATTATCAACGGCGTTAACATCCGAATCTGCATTTCGTACAGCACAGAAATATGGTGTTCGAATATTGCAGCGGTGGCAGATGCGGTACTTTATCCGGTGATGTGAAGATAAAGAAGAAGAAACCTATATATATATATATATATATGAATAGGCCAATTAAGATGGTAAAAAAAAAAAAGAAATAATTGGTATTCCTTTCTTTTTTTTTTTCTTTTTTTTTTCCATTATTATTACTTTTCCTTTTTTTCTTTCTTTCTTTCTTGTTCTTAGTAATAATATATTTAGTTGGCTTTGTAGCACTTCACCATGCTTGAGGAGAGTAGTGTTTTTGGACACAATGATATGATGGAGTGTGATGATGAACCTGTGGAAGAACCATCGGTTCCATATGAGAAAGCCAAAGTAACAGCGGAATCTTCCCTGTTAGCATCATCATCATCCGCCCAACAACAACAATTACAACAACAATCCGGCTATACTTCACGCCTTTCAGGGGCGCATACATTTTATCCGCGTGACATTGAAACACGCGAACGTAACGATAATGGTGATGGTGGAAGCCGTACATCTAGTAAACAAGATGCAGAAGAAGAAAGGGAGTTTGTGGATGAATTTGGTTTCGTAGTAGATGAAGAAGAAAAAAATAGGGAACTTCTCTATGTTAAAAATATAGATGGAAGGAAAATAGTTCGTCGTGAGGTAAAATGGGCTAATATGGCTTCAGACTGGGATAATGTGAATACCAAACGTCATGATAAGTTAAAAGAACGTTGTCGTAAAGGAATTCCAGCAAGATTACGAGGTATAGCTTGGCAATTGTTATTAGGATCACGTAGACAAATGTTAGATCCCGCTAACATTGGCACTTATGAATGTTTACGTACTAAAGAACTTGCAGATACAGAACTGTGTAGTGTTATTAGTCGAGATCTTTCACGAACATTTCCAAAACATATTCTTTTTAGAGAAGAAGGAGGAGTTGGACAAACTTTTTTACGAAATGTACTTCATGCCTATGCTTCTGTAGACCCAGAAGTTGGATATGTGCAAGGAATGGGATTTGTTGTTGGTGCACTCTCTACACAAATGGGAGAGGAAGAAACATTCTGGGCCTTACATGCGCTCATGTATAGTGATAGATATAAACTTCGTGAGTTGTATCGTCCTGGTTTTCCAATGCTTCAACAGTTCTTTTATCAATTAAAACAACTGATGGCACGGTTATTACCAAAATTATATCAACATTTTGAAAATATAGGAGTAGATCCTTCTTTTTATGCTTCTCAATGGTTTCTTACACTATTCGTCTATCACTTTCAATTTCGTGCTCTACTTAGAATATGGGATATATTTATGTCTGAAGGATGGAAGATAATATTTCGAGTTTCCATCGCTTTAATGAAATGGGAAGAAAAACGTCTTTTGGAACTTCAACTTGAAGAAGTTCTTCCCGCGCTTAAGAATTTGCATGAAGGAAAAAACCCTGATGAAATTGTGCGTCGTGCGCAAAGCATTAAATTCAAGACAGCGGAGTTAAATGCATATGCAGAAGAATACTGGCGAGCACAAAATGCATGCAAAAATTAGATTAATATCTTAACTAAATTCATTATATTTCATTCTCTTACCCAGTTTTTCTTTTTTTTCTTCTTTTTTTGTGATTTTCTGCACGTTAAATTTATATTATTATTATTATTATTATTATTATTATTATTATTATTATTATTATTATTATTATTATTATTAATATTATTATTTTGTTGGGCTTCCGAAGAATGCTGAGAGGGAGAGATAAGGAGAGGGAAGGGATCCTTTTCTTTTTTCTTATTATTTCTTTTTTCTTGCGTCTCGTAGATAACACTCTCCGTATATGTTTTTCTGTGTGTGTTTGTGTTTGTGTTTGTGTTTGTGTGTGTGTGTGTTTTCTTTCTTGATGTAAAGAGGGGCGTGTTTTTTTTTTTTTTTTTTTTTTGTTTGCTTTTGTGAATAGTTTTCACATTCACCTTTCTTTCTTTCATCTAAATCTCTGTTTTTTTTTCTTTTTTCTTTTTCTTTATTCATACGACATTTTGGAAAAAAAAAAAAAACCAGTTGCCTTTAAGAGGAGGAAATACTAGTACTATACGTCTTTGTTGAGGAAGAAGGCGAACAAGAAGAAAGAGAGGAAAAAAGAAGTAAAAAGAAAAGAAAAGAAAAGAAAAAAAAAAAGATAAAAGGAGTTTTCACAGTACAAAGGGGTTAAGTGATGGCACCCCAAGAACCCGTCACGAATGAAGAAACGCTTGAAAGCGTGAAGGAACGATTGTGGAGTTCCCTCCCATCTATTGCGAAACTTCGGGCGGAAGTTATTGCCACTGCCACTGCTGGGAATATTAACAACAACAACAACAATGATAATATGATGAGTGGTGTTGATGGGAATGGAAAAGAAAAGACAACAGTGGCTGATCCCTCGACTGCAGTGCGGGCGGCCTCTGTGCCTTATGTGGAGATGCGGCAGTTGTTGGAGTGTCTCTTTATGGCCTGCCACACCAATCCAGTGGAGTCCGATGTGAAGGGGGGAGTGGATTTGATGTTAGATACACCTAAACAACAAGAAGAAGAAGAAGAAGAAGAAGAAAAAGAACAGACAGTATTATCAGAGGAAATGAAAAATAAAGAAAATACTCTTTACACATGGGATGATTTTATTCATTTCTTAACATCTGTGGAGTCTTTGTGGTTGGATTGGCCTGATGAGGATGAGAAATGGTTAGGTGTGAGTGAGAAACTTCATATTAGTGTATTGAAGGAATTAACAGAGTGTGTTACACAAGATATGGATCCTTTTCTCTTGTTAGCACCTCAACAAGTCTTAACACTACAATCAGAAGTGGCACATGCAAAGACACTAGTAACACCATTTGAGTTTTTTTTAGATTTTGTAAAACCTAGTGAATATCCAGAGATATATAATACACTTTGGACACTTTTTACACAGAATGAAGAAAAAGGAACATGTCAAGAGAATCTTTCTCTTGAAAAGTTTACTATTTTCTTTAAATGGTTTTACCTTCAAGTTTTTGCAAACACTACTGAAATGGCAACAGAAGTAGTTGCCAAAACTATGTGGCTCGAACATTTAAATGCACATGGTGTAATGACAAAAAAACAGTTTGTAGAAATTTGTCGTTATATGTGTAGACTTTATTGTCTTGAAAAAGATGATGTTAAATGTTTAGAGAATTTTTATAATACCAGCAAAAATTCTCATTTGCAAATTTCTGAAGAAACTTTAACGGCAGAACATTTACTTTTAGAGTGTAATACCTCTTCAGCAACCCGTATACTGGATGATCCAAATAATCTCTATGTACCGGAAGAATTAGATGAAGTAAAACAAGAGATGCAGTTGTATGCTAGAGATGCAAATGCTAATCGTATTATTATATATGGTAAACGCGGTATAGGTAAAACTTCTCTGGCAAAGGCTTTAGCCAATCATTTAAATTGTGTTCATTTGAGTGTGGAAGATCTTGCTATGGAAGCAGTTGCTAAAGCGAATACATTTGAGGATTCACTTGGGACTCAAATTATTGATTGTATTGATAATAATACTACTATACCTCTTTCAATTTTGATGGCTTTGGTTCGAAAAAAGATTAACATGGATGAAACTCTGTATCGTGGATATGTTTTTAGTGATCTTCCACTTTTTTCTGGTGAAGAAAACTCTGATGCCATAGAGTTTTTAAATGGTTGTGGAATAATGGATTCGTTTATACCAAGTACTCTTGTACACTTAAACTGTGATGATCACTTTCACCAAGAACGTCTTTCTGTTACATTAGAGGAACGAAATGTATTTTATCAACGTGAATTAGATCTTCGTCGTGCTGCAGAGGAAGACGCCTCTCATCATCAAACCCTCACTGATCGTGTAAAGCACCTTCAAGCCATCATTAAAGAATATACAGAAATGTCAACAGCCGCAGCCGCAGCAGATCCTAATTCTGTGGAAACAGAGACACTGGAGGCAGCGAAAGCAGCTGCGGCTGAAGCGGAAACGGAATTACCAAATGCATTGGAAGAAGAAGCCAAAAATGCGGAAAAAATATCACAAAAAAGTGCAGATCGTACAAGGGAGATTAGAGAACTTGCATTAGTAAGAATGATTCAACAATCCCTTTCACCTGATGAAAAAGGGAATGATACTATTTCTATAATAGATCTTCCATGTTTTCAATCAATTTTAGAGCGTCTTCAATCTTTGGAACGTTGTTTAACCGTTGGATGTACTTCTTTAATTGAAGATTCCGTCACATACATTGTGAATACATTAAGACTTCAACCTTGTATTCTACCAAACGATCTTGCAGAGAAACTACTACAACAGGAACAAGAACAACAACAACAACAACAATTGGGAGGAAATGAAACGGGTGCTAATATGGAACGAGATCTTGGAATTGCAAGATCTGTTGAGGATACAGCTACAGAGATGGGAGTTATTCCATCTACCCGATGGAAACGTTTTTGTCCTGTAACTTTCTCAGAATCCGGTGTTTTAGTAGAAGGAACTGCACGATTTGGTTGTGTGTATCGTCAACGATTGTATTATCTCGCTTCTGAAGAAAAACTTCAAAAGTTTAAGGCTAATCCATTACCATACATACGATCTATACCTTTAGATGGTAAACCCATCTTACTTCTTTCTACTATAGAGAAAAAAGATGAAGAGCAATTTCCATCTAGTAATGTACAAGAATTAATACAAATACTTCATGAAAAACTTCAACTTACTCCACTTGAATTTAATGATTTTATTGCCCAATGGGATAAACACCGTAATTTAAAAGGATTACGGGCTCAATCTTTAGAGACACGAGCTAAATATGAACTTACGGAACGTAAACTACGTGCAGATCGTTTTAAAAAACGTAGGGTATCTGAAAAGAAAAAAATCAAAAAACCGAGACCACCATCAACAGGTCGTAAAGGACGTAAAAGTACAGTAGTTGTTCCTGAACCAGAAGAAGAATTTAATGGATGGAAAAAAGAAAATAATAAACCTGAAACACTTGTTTCTCGCATTGAAAAGCAAATCTCTGATAATTTAGACCGCAAAAAGACTTTTGTTCCCATTTTAGTTCACGCTCTTGGAGATAATATATCTATGAACGCTTTTGATCAACTCTTTGGAGAAGGTGTTTTACCTGAAACGGTGATTGTACTTCAATATGAGAATTCCTCAACAGAAGATGAAGAAACAACATCTCCTTTACAACCACCAACGGATAAAAATACAAAGGAAGATAGTGGAGATGGAACCGGTGGTGGTAATTCAAGTGAAGTAAAACCACCAATGCCCCAATTGAGTATGATAGAAAAATTAGAAAAGGGTAAAGCTACTACTAGTACTAATAGTGAAAATAATGGTAGTGAATCAACTTCACAGACATTTAAAATTCATCGTATGATTGTAAATAATAAAGATGCCCATATTTTGGCAGCAGAAATACTTCAAGCTGTTTGTCCTGGTATGTCTCCTGTAGAGAATGGGATATTAGATGATGCACTAGAAGAGATGGAAGAAGAAGGAGCCGAAATGAATGATGATGAAAATGATGAAGAAGATGGAGAGGAATTTGCTATAGGTCCAAATGATCCAGCTCTACGTCCTGGTAAACGTTATCTAAATCAATTTGGTTCTCGATTAGACTATTGTCCTGTAACTCTTTATGAAAAAAGACTTCTTGTTCGTGGAAATAAAGATTATTGTTTACAGTATGAACAAAAATTATATTTATTCACTTCAGAAGAAGCAATGGCAAAGTTTGAACGTAATCCGTTACGCTATCTTGAAATTCCACCACCTCAGGTTCCACCTCGTATTTGGTTAGTTGGATATTCAAGAAGTGGTAAAAAAACTCTTGCAAAATCTCTTCAAGAAAAATATAATGTACCTTATTTTGCTTATGATCGAAAATTCTTTGAGCGTTGTATTGAAGCTGCACGAAAGCCAGGTGGTGATATTGTTGAAGGTATTCCTATAAGTGAAGAAAAAGGTAATAATCCATATCTTAACCTTGCTGAGTCTATTCTTAAGGATGTACGAGACTTTGCGGCTGAGCAAGAACGATGTAAAAAATTACGTCAAGAAGCTGAAGCTGAAATGGAGCGACGTGCGCAAGCGGAACAGAATCACGAGGAAGACGAAGAGGAAGAAGATGAAGAAGAAGAATTAAATGAAGAAGCCGAAGCACGTCTACAAGAACAACTAGAATTTGAATCTGAAGGTGAAGAAGAACGTGAGGTACGTCTTAGTGAGGCATATCTAAAGATTGCTAGTTGTGTCACACGCATTGAGCCATTTGAATCGCAGGGATATATGATGGTGTGCCCGCCCTTCTCAGAGGGTGATATTGAAGTGATGTTTGGTGTTGGCGGTATTCCAGAAGTGGCAGTGCAGATGGAATTGTCAACTGAACACTACCGTACACGTGCTATGGAAGTAGTGGCCCAACAACGTGCGGCTCGTCCACCAAAGGAAACCGTTCAAACTTCTTCAGAAGAAGAGAATCGTATGAAATTATGGCTTGAAAAGGAACAACGGAGAAAAGAACGGGAATTACGTAAATGGCGTCGTCGTCATATTGGTAAGGATGATCCTGAAAGTGATCCAGAGGATAACAGTGAAGATGAGTCACCTGAAGAGATGAATAGAAAGACTACTGATCAAGATAATGATAATAATGATGATGATGATGATGATGATGCAATTATGCAATCAATTGAAGCGGATCAAACTATAGAACAAGAGGCTATAGCAGAATTTGTAGATGCTATTTCTTCAAGATTTATTAATGTTATTCAACTTAATGGTGATCTTTCTCCAAATGCTATTTTTCGAGCTGCCATACGTCGACTTTTCAAGGTAATGGAACATAGACGTTCTCTTATGTATGTTGCACAGGTTATTCGGTATGATGAAGCTATAAAAATGCTTGAATCTGGTGGAGCGAATCTTTCTTATTTTAGATATACAGATCCTGTTTCGTTGTATGATGAACGACATGGAGTAAGGCGTGTATGTAAGTGGATGCCCAATGGTAGTGTTGAACTATCAGAACCAACGGAGGAAGTCGGATTAAATGGAGTCAATGGAAACAAAAGGAAAAATAAGGATAAATTGCATGAAGGAGAAGAGGAAGAGGAAGATGAAGATGAAGGGGAGTATGATGAAGAAGAGGAAACAGAAAATAGTGAGAATAGTGGTAATAAACATTCTCAGAAGCAACGTCCTCAAGATGAGAAGGAAAAAGCAATGGAAAATATCTTTCCAGATTTGGAACTTTCAGAAGTAGATGAGATGAGTGAAATTGGTACAGAAGAAATGGAAGAAGTACATGAAACTTATGAAAGACGAAAACGACGAGAATGGCTTCGTAAAAGTCCACGTGTGGCTCTTTTTTGTGGTCGATTGTACTTTTTTGAAAATGATGCCGATCTTCTTAGGTACTTACATGATCCCCAATTATTTGTACAACAACCTCCACCTTTGCCTGAACCACAAAATAAAACGGTTATTTCTGTATATGAAATGATAGACAATCAACGTAATGAAGAAGGGGTGAAAGAACGAACTACTGCTCATCATATGGCATTTAATCTTCACTCTTATTTAATATCAATTCCAAAACTTCTTTCATGGGCAGCAACTCATAAACCATTACTTTCTCTTTCACAAGAGGCAATTAATGCTGTTATTACTGGAATTGCTAGTGAATCATTAATTACGGAATTATTATCTCATCGTCTTAATGGAGCAGATGTACGAAGTAAAGGTGCGGTATTACTTAACTTACCTAGAAGTTCAGAACAATATAATACTCTCTTAGAAAGGGAATTACGTGTAGAAAAGGTGTTTCAATTTGATGACATTTATGAAAATATTACCAAAGTGATAAAATCTACAGCGACAGTAGATGTACCTTTTTCAGCTCCTCGAAATTCTATTGCTGCTCTTGCAGAAATAACAAGATATATTGATGTATTTAAAATGAATGAAGGTCGTGCCATATTATCTATCCTTAGGGGTTTCCCAATGAATATGAATAATTTATATTATACTACAAAAGAAATTGAAACACATCTTTCCTCATATCAATGGTTTTGTCCATATAATTGGTCTTTAAATGGAGACTTGGTTGACCAAAGTAAAAGCCGTTGCTATGGAGCAGTTTACTTGGGAAACTTTTACTTTTTCTCTTCTGAAGAATATCTTCAACGATTTTTACTCCACCCTGCAGAAATAACAGTTTCACCTGGATTAAAACCTCTTCCAGATGCACTTCCATCTCGTGTACCACCTAGTTCAACATATAAATTGGAATTATTAGGTTGTTGCCCTGTCACTTTGTATGATACACGAAATAATAAAGGACTTCGAGGTGTACTGGAGCCTTTGGCCAAGAATGGTGATATCAATTGCATTGTAGAGTATAAGGGTCTTTACTATGCATTGCTGGATGAGGTTGCGCTAGAGCGTTTCATGTTGAGACCATGGCAATATGTAGAAGGAGCACAGTTACCTCCTCCTCGAAAAATTCCACTTGCTGAAGGTAAAACAATGTCAACTATTGGAGAAGAAGAATATATGCGACGTATTTTGTATGATCCGGTGGCTCGTGCATTAATTGCGGTAGCAGAATCACGCCCCAAGTACCCGGGTTTATCGCTGGAAGAATCTGCATTGAAATTCATGGCCCTTCACATGAAGTGTTTTAATGATAAAAATACTACTATACAAGCAGAACAGTATAAGGATAATTTTGAAGTATTTCGTAAACGTTCCACACTATATAGGACTATGACAGAGGTTTCACAAGAGGATGCCCATAGTGAAAAATTTACAGATCTTTGTTCAGAGTGGGTAAAGGCTACAGATACGAAAAATGACAATGTCACTCCCTTGATACGACTACGACCTGTTTAACTGAATAATGTAAGCATAGAATTTGAAGAAAGGGATGGTTTTCTTCTCTTTTTTTTTTCTCCTTTTCTCTCATTTTTTAATTCTCCTACTTTTTTTTTTTTGGATATTTGTTTGTCATTTTCTTCTTTGAAATTGGATCAATGTAGAAGACAAGGTTATTTATGTAAATAAAGCGAAACTGCTTGTATTTGTGGTTCCTCTTCGTTGTTTTTTTTTTTTTTTTTTTTATTTTATCCGTTTACTATCCATGTGTTCTTGTTCTTTTGGAGACATATTTTTTCCAGAGAGAGTTTGTTCTTTTTTTTTTTTGAGTGTATTCCTTTTTCTTTATTATTATTTATAATACTTTGCATTTTTTACCCTCTTTTCCTCTTTCTTCTGTTTACGGCGAAGACCTAGATTAGATTGAGGGGATCAGAAAGTCATTAGAAGGGGTTCTGCTTTGCTGAATTGTGGAGAAGAAATAAAGAAAGAACCAAAAAGAAAACAAAAACAGAAAACGGATATATATATATATATATATATATATATATAGCGAAAAGTAAAGAGGAAGGAGGAAAAAAGAAAAAGTGGAGAGGTGGGTATAGGACAGAGGTGTGTAGGACCATGTCATCATCTCTACGTCTGAGGCTGCCAAAAAATCCTCAGCCAATTACTACTGAAGTCGATCTATCGACACCGTGGGATATTTTCCTCTTCAACATCGCTGAACTATCGGGTATCGCGAAGGAACGGCTGCGACTTCTCGCCGGGTTCCCGCCGCAGCCTGTTGGACCCAAAGATGGTGACAGCAGCAACGCTACCGTAGGGGATTTTCTTCGATCCGGAGAGATGGTAATAGTACAGGAGGGTCAGGCAACGGTGACCCGTGGGGTGACGGAGGGGCGTTATGTTCCTCCAACACATGAGAAATGGCACTTTACCAGACGCATTTGCCCTTCGGATAATTCTTGTCTGTTTCACGCCGCTGCTTACGTCTTGCTGGATAAGAGTCGCACGGATGGACCAAAATTGCGTGAGGAATGTGCTGCATTTGTGTATAATAATCCTCAACTTTTCAGTGAGTTCTTGCTTGAACGACCCATTCATGAGTATGTTGAATGGATCCGACGTCCAACTTCATGGGGTGGAGCCATTGAATTATATATATTAAGCTTAATGAAGAAGACGGAAATTGTCGCCCTAGATTTAGAGTCTTCTCGCATAGAACGATTTGGAGAAAATCAATACAGTGCTTGTGTCTTTGTTGTTTACACCGGTCGTCACTATGACGCTATTGCTATGAATGCTATGTATAATTCACCGCGTGAAAATGAGGATCAGGTGCTGTTCAACGTTCGGGACGAGTATGTAATTGAACGTGCCAAACGTTTTGTGCGGGAGGAGGCGGAACGCATGAAGGAGTAAGGAATTAAAAAAAAAAAATTCTTTCTTTGTCTTTTTTTTTTTACTTCCTCAAATTATTTATGGAAAATATCTCTATTTTCATGATGTTATTCTTTTTCTTATTGCTTTCTTAGCAGCCCTTTGCTGAAGTTGTGAATGCAATGCTTCAGAAAACTTCTTTTTTTTTCTTTCTTTCTTTGATTACCAAAAAAAAAAAAAAAAGACTAAGAAGGAACAGTACCACCTGGGCAAGAAAGAATAAATGGAAGCAATATCCCCCCCCCCTCCAAGAAAAAAAAAAAAAGAATATATCTATACTTCTATTTATACAAAAGGAAAGACAACTGTCAGTTACAATTATATGTGTAGAAATAAGATGCGTTGCATTTAACTGTAGGATGTAACGTATCATGATAAAATTTATTTGATATGCCTTCTTTGGTTACCTTTTTCTTTTCTTCCTTCTCTTTTTCTCTTTTTTTCCTTTACCGTTGTTTTGTTCACTGTACTACCCCATGAAGAGCAAGAAGTAAATACAAGGCGTGGGAGGAAGAAAGAGAGAAAAAAAGGGGGGACTGAACAGTCCTCTCTATAATAGCATTGGACAAAAAAGTATACAAATAAAGGCGGGGGCCAAATTAAAAAGGACGGGGCGCGGCCCATGAGTGACTCGCCGCGGAAGTCACGCGCCAGCCGCCCCGTGACGCCCCCCAATCGTGTCGTTCCGCCGACTGAACCCTCGCCGGAAGTGGCGCTGGTGGCCGCAACGTTTGCGAACCGCGAACTCCGCTGGGCACGGGCCACATCTACACACTACGCGAGTGCCCACGCGGAGGCCGCACGCGAGCGGGACGAACTCGCCGAAGCCCTTGCGGCCGCGGAATGTGATGCGGCGGTGGCAAATGCGGCGCTTGAACAGCGACTGGCGGATGCGTATGCGGCGAACGCGGCGCTGCGGCGGGAAGTGTCGGATACAGCAGAGGCGGGTCAGGCGGAGGCGAATCGATTGCGGGATGAACTGCGAGAACGTGACAGTGAGGCGGAGAAACTGCGGCAACGTATTGCGGAATTAGAGGCGGAGCGAGCTGCTATTGATGCCTTCTTCGCAGAACGTGATGCTCACATAGCGGAACGGGACAGATTGGCGAAACAGTGCGAAGAAGAGAAGGCACGATATGCTCGAGATACACGTGAACTCCGTCTGCAGTTGATGGCTGAGCGTGTGCGGGTTCGGGCGGAGGAACAGCGACTGCGGGAACGCCACGCACAGGACGTTCGAAACACAGCGGAAGAACTTCTTACTACAAAGGCACGCGTTACAGAGGAACTGAATGAGACTCTCCGTCAGGAGAAGAGTTTGCTTTCCTCAGATATTCAGGCTACACGTGAGCAGTCAGAGACATTGCGGCAGCGGAATGCAAAACTACAACGTGAGGCTATTCTTGCTGCAGAAGCTGAAACACAGTACGCTCTACGAGGGGCTAAACAAAGAAAGGAAATCGCCGCTCTCAAGGAGCAAGTGCGAATTACTGAAGAAAACCTCAATGAGGTAGTTGAGAAGTACGAAAAACGTCTGCGTAAAGAGGCGAAAGAGCATAATACAGCTCTACAACAACGGACGAGTGAACGTGATGATGCAAGATCCACTGCCGAGCGTCTACGTCGCGAACTTATGAAATTGCGAACTATTTCTAAACATATAATGAAACAACGCTCCGAATTAGAGGAATTTTTCTATGATGCATTAGCGCAGGTAAGGCGGGAGATGTTAGAGGAACGCCGCAACCGCAACCGTACAATAGGCTATCATCAAGGTGGTAATATGTACCCCAAAAATATTCCACAACTAAAGCAGGATAATGAATTGCTTCTTATTGGTGATGGTGATGATCAGCATCAAGCACATCCTCATCATTATCAGGAACAACAAAAAGAATCAAAATGCCGATCATTGCGTCCTGTTCCTTTTCATTCTCTTGAAGAAGGTTTTTCTTGGAACAACAAGGAAATGTCACCTGGTGGTGATGGTAATATACGCTTTTCGTCGCTTCCACTAATTCCACTCTCGAGTGGTGGTGTTGTTCCCATTATGCAGAAACGTCTTATACCTGCAAAAGAGTGGGGATACGGTGAAAGTGGCGCATTAACTATACATACTCCTCCTCCTCCTCCTCTTCCTGTCGCAGGAGGAGAGTTGACACTGTCGCATACTGAAGACTTGGCGTGTATCCCTAGTGCACCTACACTAAAGGATTTACAGTCGGTTGAAATTGCACAGCTTAGCTGGAAAGACAAGGAACGTGTACTTCAGGTTCTCTTTAAGCATCTACAGGGTAGGTCCAATGCGGCAAAGTCAAAACAGTGCACGCCAACAGATGAGGCAGACTGTTTGATGGATGGTGTTGCTGTAAAACCCGAAACAAATACGTTTTTGACGGAATCTGCATGATATATGATATGATGTTTGCTTTTTTTTTTTTTTTTTTACACCCCAAAAAAGGATTTTCTCTTCCTCACAGGCTCTCTCTCTCTTTCCTGTCCCCTTTTGTTTTTCGTCGCATTTCTTCAGTGTTTCTTTTTCTTTGATTTCCTTTTTTTTGTTGTTGTTGGCGCTTTGGATGGAATATTGATCTGCTCTTGCCTTGTGTGGCTTTGTCGCGATTTTTTTTTTTTT